CATTGTTGTTTGGCGGGCCCAGGCTGGATTCAAACCCGCCACCTTGGGTGTACGTGGCTGGCGCCTTAGCCACTTGAGCCACAGGTGCCAAGCCTAGAAGTACTTCTTTAAGGACTTAAGGAATTGTTTTGTCCTTTTAAGAATAGGCCTCTGGTAGAAAAGTGCCTTGAACAGAAAAGCCAGTTCTGTGTTGAGAGAGAATGATGAAGGTTCCAAAAGGCCCTATTTTCATAACCCCTCAACTTTCTGTTGTGGGGTTCCTTATCTAAAGTGTTCCTTATTAAGAAAGCACCCACAACTATAACTGTCTCAGCCAAAAAGTCCTGGGAGAGACCCGGGAAAAACCTCTCATATACACAGGAAACCATTTAAGTAACAAAGGTACTTAAAAGACTTGACAACTCAGAACGAATGAACTATATACCTAGGGAATCTCAAAAGATATCTTTAAAGGTTAGTTTTTGTGCTTCTTGATCTGTTTGAGGAAAACAGCCTTTTAAACTGGAGTCTTTACAAAGAAGAAGATATCCTTATGACAGCCTATCATCCTTGAAATAGTGATAAGATCACATTTCCTGCTATACTCCTCCCATCTCCCCCATGTAAATCAGTAGTCTATAGCAGTTCTGATGTGGTGACTAGAAGAGCAGTAACGAGAACATCTTGTTTTGGAACACCTGAGTTACCACTTCCCCCATTCTGTTGAAATGAATGGAAACTGTGTGCTATTTCTTACATCAAGTAAGAACATTTGTGTTGGAAGTTAAGACATCTTCCCCAACAGATTGAGGACAAGGGTTGTGTTTATCTTGTTCACAGCCATTATCACATAGTGGATATTTGATAAATATTTGCCAAGTAAATGAAAGAATGAGAAGGAAGAAAAGAATACAGGGTGAGAAATTAGGGGCGGAGAGGATAATAACAACAGCAATGTAATTTAACAGAAAAATAGACCAAAGCCAGGCTCAGAGATTTATATTATGCTGTCTAGGTTTTGGCTCCAGATAGGAAGGTTTAAAACATGTACTGGCTGCCATTCTCCACACATCACCCTGAGAGTGGTGCATGGGTACCACTCAGAAGTGTGTAGTCTGAAACTTCCACTTTCTAGGGACAAACTCTAAGACCTGGGAGAGAAAAATATGGGAAGAAAGAACAGAAAAGAAAAAGCATCACTTTCCTCCTATTCAGAAAAAATGCATAAGTGCATTTTCAACCAAAGATTTTTTTTTTTTTTTGAGACACAATCTTACTCTATCACTCTGGGTAGTGTGCTGTAGCATTATAGGTCACAGCAACCTCAAAATCTTGGGGTCAAGCAATCCTCTTGCCTCAGGCTCCAGAGGAGCTGGGACTACAGGCATGTGTCATGACTGGCTAGTTTTTTTTGTTGTTGTTTTTTGTTTTTGTTTGAGACAGAATCTCACTACGTCACCCTCAGTAGAGTGCTATGGCATCACAGCTCACAGCAACCTCAGACTCTTGGCTTAAGCGATTCTCTTGCCTCAGCCTCCTAAGTAGCCTGGCTATTTTTTGTTGCAGTTATCATTGTTATTTAGCTAGCCTGGGCTGGGTTTGAACCCGCCAGCCTCAGTATCTGTGGCTGTGCCATAACCACTGTGCTATGAGTGTCAAGCCATGATTGGCTAGTTTTTTCTATTTTTAGTAGAGCCAGATTTTCGCTCTTGCTCAGACTGGTATTGACTCCTGAGCTCAGAGGATCCACCCACTTCAGATTCCTAAAGTGCTAGGATTAGGCCTGGCCATCTCAACTCAAGATTTTAGATTTTAACCCAAATCCATCAGTGCTATTGCTGAGTAAAATATCAGGGGAAGTGGTGGCATGAAAAGCTCTGTTTATGCTTCTATTCATAAGGTTATTTACTGGTTTAAGTAAAGGGGATTGCCTTGCTTATATGCTTTAGTAAATAATAGTACATTTTCATTTCCAGAAGTATGCTTGCAGTTTATGTAAGGGAGCCAGGCTCTGAAAACACATTCTTGTGCCTGATAGCATTAATCAAGTTCCTAACTACCTAAAAAAATAATTGGCCTCAAAAATAAATAAATAGTATAATTTATGAGTTTTTAATTATTTTTTCCCTGCTGTGAGCTTAGCTTCTGTAGGTTTTTAATGCTTCCCATCATTTCTAGTGGAAGCTAAATTACAAAAATGAAAATAGTACTCAACACTACGTATAGAGGGTCCAAATCAAAAAGGGCTGCGGAGGCCACAAAGTAAACAAAGGAAGTCAAAATTGGGGGGTGGGCACTTGCAGAAATTTGCATGTTGAAAGTTCTCATAAGTAAGCTTGATTTGCATTTTAAAAACGAAAGCAGCCTGTAGTCCCAGCTACTTGGGAGGCTGAGGCAGGAGAATCGCCTAAGCCTAGAAGTTGGTGGTTGCTGTGAGCTGTGACTCCACAGTACTCTACCAAGGGCAATAAAGTGAAACTCTGTCTCAAAAAAAAAAAAAAAAAAACCTCCGAAAAACGAATACAGAATGGTTTTCTGGCTCTTCTAGTGACAGCTATAAACTCTTGGTTGCAAGTTCTAGATGAGGTCTTTCTTTTATAGTTTAACTTCAGAGACTTAGAACTATAAAGGACTTTTGTCTTTTGGAGTTTTTTTGAGATACCATCTCATGCTGTGGCCCAATCATAGGTCACTGCAGCAGCCTTGAACTCCTGGTCTCAAGCTATTTTTCCAAGTAGCTGGGACTACAGGTATGCACCTTCATGCTTGGATAATTTTATTATTATTATTATTATTTGTAGAGATGGGGGTTTCATTATCTTGCCCAGTCTGGTCTCAAACTCCTGGGCTCCAGTGATTTTACCTGTCTCAGCCTCCCAAAGTGCTGGGATTATAGGTATGAGCCACAGAGACTGGCTGGAAAGAACCTTTAGCTCACCCAAGCCAAAGATTGTACATAAGCCAGATGAGTCACATCTGACCAACAGACTTGATTTGACCTACACTGTGGTGGGGTTTTTTTTTAAAAAGTCAGTTGTCAAAATTTACAATCATGACATTTCATATAAAATCCTGTCTTGGGGCTCGGCGCCTGTGGCTCAAGTGGCTAAGGCGCCAGCCACATACACCTAAGGTGGCGGGTTCGAATCCCCAGCCCGGGCCCGCCAAACAACAAT